GTGCGGTGAATTACCTACTACAGGAACACTTTGGATTAAGGGACCCAGTTTTATTTTCAGTTGCTGGTATTGGAGTGAAGAGGCTAATTGTTTTGAGCTGCACCGAACGTGAGCATCGATCCAGGCCAACGGCTGAGTTTAAGTTCGGATTATTTGCCGGCTGGGACTGGGGAGGGTTTGCGTGTGAGAGTGTGTCCACAAATCCTTTTGAATATAATGTATATAGTATATAGCTAATGTTAATGTGTTATTGTATATTGTAGATTGTTCCCGTATCAGACATTAAGTGTCATAAGCAGGGCAGTGAGTAAAGGTATTGGGGTTCGTATATCTCAATGTAAAGAAGCGCTATAATATTTCATGGAATTTTATGGTGTGGAGTAATTGAGTATATTATCTTGGTACTGTAATATTGATATCAATTTTTTTGTTACAAATCCATTATGATTTCATACTTTTGGTCACTTCAACATCCAAAGAAGTGGTTGTCTGAGTTACTGGGATACCTGAGTGGTAAAAACCAAGTTCATGTTGGGAGGTTGCATATGGCCTTTTCATGTGGCCACAAACACAAGTATTGTATGGTTAAAGTTAAAGTATCACCGTTCAGTTAGTACAGGTAAGTGAATAAGGACACGATTACAGGAGAGTGAGATATTGATACTGTGTACTGGGTTAGTCACAGAGCCGAGGGCGCCTCTCAGTACCGAGTGTTTGGTCTAGGGGGCCCTACATTAGTAAAAGTAAAATTTATTCAATGTAAGTTTTAAAATTTCAGCAATGTGAAATACAGTTACATACAGTGGGCTGGTACTGACTCTTTATTAATATGTGTATAAATGCTGTAAGAGGGAGTGAGAGTTAATCAGCCTGGTAATTTTCATACTGTCCCTGCAGGTGTGTCCACAGTGAAAGAAGTGTCTGTACAGAGAGGAGGATCTGTCACCATCCCATGTTTCTATGGTGACGGATATAAAACTCATGTGAAATACTGGTGCAGAGGGAGACTTTGGTATTCATGTCCTCCCATAGTACACAGTGACTCTCCACAGGAGGGTAAAGAGTCAATCAGAGATGATCCTGACCAGCGAGTTTTTACTGTGACCATGAACAGTCTCACAGCTGGGGACTCTGGTTATTACTCCTGTGGTGTGAAGATCAGTGGAGGTTCAGATGTTGGAGATCAGGTTTACCTGTCAGTCACTGATGGTAAGATGTCTGTACTGCAGGCTGTAGCCAATGAGATGCACAGAATATAACATGTCATTCAGTCAGAAAGGAAGGACACAAACACTGGAAAAATAAAAATATTTTAACATTTAAAAAATGTATAGAATAGATTCCAAATTCTACTTTTGTTCAGCAGCATAACTAAGACCATTGAAA